CATAGGAAAGGTGGAAGCCAAACTGTCTCTATTTGCAGATGACATGATAGTATACCTAGAAGACCCCATCACCTCAGCCCCAAAACTCCTGAAACTGATAAGCAACTTCAGCAAAGTCTCAGGATATACAATCAATGTGCAAAAATCACAAGCATTCCTAAACACCAATAACAGACTTAAAGAGAGCCAAATCAAGAACGAACTGCCATTCACAATTGCTACAAAAAGAATAAAATACCTAGGAATACAACTTACAAGGAATGTAAGGTACCTCTTCAAGGAAAACTACAAACCACTGCTCAACGAAATAAGAGAGAATGCAAACAGATGGAGAAACATTCCATGTTCATGGTTAGGAAGAATGAATATCATGAAAATGGCTATACTGCCCAAAGTAATTTACAGAATCAATGCTATCCCCATTAAGCTACCAATGACCTTCTTTACAGAACTGGAAAAAACCACCTTGAACTTCATATGGAATGAAAAGAGAGCCCGCATAGCCAAGTCAATTCTAAGCAAAAAGAACACAGCGGGAGGCATCACGCTACCGGACTTCAAACAATCCTACAAGGCAACAGTAATCAAAACAGCATGGTACTGGTACCAAAACAGAGATATAGACCAATGGAACAGAACAGAGGCATCGAAGGCAACACAACATATCTACTACCATACGATCTTTGATAAACCTGACAAAAACAAGCAATGGGGAAAGGATTCCCTGTTTAATAAATGGTGTTGGGAAAACTGGCTAGCCATGTGCAGAAAGCAGAAACTGGACCCCTTCCTGACACCTTACACTAAAATTAACTGCAGATGGATTAAAGACTTAAACATAAGACCTGGCACCATAAAAACCCTAGAAGGAAATCTAGGCAAAACCATTCAGGACATAGGACTAGGCAAGGACTTCATGACCAAAACACCAAAAGCATTGGCAACAAAAGCCAAAATAGACAAATGGGACCTAATCAAACTCTACAGCTTCTGCACGGCAAAAGAAACAGTCACTAGAGTGAATCGGCAACCAACAGAATGGGAAAAAATTTTTGCAGTTTACCCATCTGACAAAGGGCTGATATCCAGAATTTACAAAGAACTCAAACAGATTTACAGGAAAAAAACAAACAAGCCCATTCAAAAATGGGCAAAGGATATGAACAGATACTTTACAAAAGAAGGCATACATGAGGCCAACAAATATATGAAAAAATGCTCATCACTGGTCATTAGAGAGATGCAAATCAAAACCACATTGAGATACCATCTCACGCCAGTTAGAATGGCGATCATTAAAAAATCAGGAGACAACAGATGCTGGAGAAGATGTGGAGAAATGGGAACACTTTTACACTGTTGGTGGGAGTGTAAATTTGTTCATTGTGGAAGACAGTGTGGCAATTCCTCAAGGTCTTAGAAATAGAAATTCCCTTTGAACCAGCAATCCCATTACTGGGTATATATCCAAAGGACTATAAATTGTTCTACTATAAGGACACATGCACACAAATGTTCACTGCAGCACTGTTTACAATAGCAAAGACCTGGAACCAACCCAAATGCCCATCGATGATAGACTGGATTGGGAAAATGTGGCACATATACACCATGGAATATTATGTAGCAATCAGAAATGATGAGTTTGTGTCGTTTGTAGGGACATGGATGAATCTGGAGAACATCATTCTCAGCAAACTGACACAAGAACAGAAAATGAAATACCGCATATCCTCACTCATAGGCAGGTGATGAATAATGAGAACACATGGACACAGGGAAGGGAGTACTAAACACTGGGGTCTATTGGGGGGAATAGGGGAGGGACAGCGTGGGGGAGGGATAGCCTGGGGAGAAATGCCAAATGTGGGTGAAGGGGAGGAAGGCAGCAAAGCACACTGCCATGTGTGTACCTATGCAACTGTCTTGCATGTTCTGCACATGTACCCCAAAAAATAAAAAATTTAAAAAAAGAAATTAAATAACATGCTTTTAAATGACCAATGGGTCAACGAATAAATTAAGACAAATAAAAAAATTCTTTATATAAAATAAAATTAGAAAGTATTCTGATAATAGCTGCAGTTCTCTCCTCTACTTTGCATGTGCAGGCACAAACTGAAGATTCTGAAATGGCACCCACTGTGCTGAGTTGTGATTGGCTTTGTGTTATTCTGACCAGTTACAGTTTGTCTTCTATTATTATTAGCACGTGTCCCATACTTCTGGTTTTACCAACCCATACAATAGCTTATTTTACTGAGAATGCTTATTTTACTGAGAATAAAACCTTAAAGGTGACTGTGGGAATGATTAAGTTTATTTTGCCACATTGAAGGTGGACTTTCTAGGAAAATACTGACTTCCTATTATGTAGATGACTAAAATGCTACAGAGAGCAACCTGCACCTCGGGTGATAGCACTGACGAGCCAGTAGGCTTACTGAAGAGTCTTGTCTTCTCTTCTGGTAAGCTGGGTTTGAAGCAAGTTCAGGCTCTGATAAGAGGATATATCATTTCAACTGTAAAGGCTGGTGCGGATCGTGTGGACTGGATGTCCCTCAAGACCCACTGAAGGGCGCTTCTAGACTCCTAGGACTCCAAACACTGGAGGTATTCCCGACACCATCACTTTCCCAATCTCACTTGCTGCCAGAATTCAGATGTGATTTACATCAGATCCAGTTGCTTGGGACTTTAATTTAAAACTGAATTATAACACTAATGAGATGTCCGATTTTCTCCATGCATACTATTAAGCATTTTTAAAAAGTTTTTTTTAACAACTCTCAGTCAGGAAGCGCATAAGTTCTATGAGGGGAGAAATAGGCTAGGGCATCCTCTTCCTAGCCCAAACTGAGGCAGAGGCAGTATGACCTGGAGCAGGTGGCCCTGGTGGAAGATTCCAGATTCTGCAACTTCCTGACTGTGGCAGGAGCGACAGTGTTCTTGGCAGCCTGGTTCTGTGGTGAGGTTTCCGGAGTTGCTTCTGGAAGCTCAACTTACAGCCAGCATCTTTGCCGCTCACTCCTGAAGACTACCCTTTAATAAGTCTCTTTCTGCTTGAAGTAACTAGAATAGCTTCTGAGGCCTGAAACTAAGGTCTCTGAGCAATAAGCAGGACCATGGGAGAGAGACTGTTAGGTCAGAACTTGGCTACTACGTATTGCTTCTCTTGAGTCTCAGAGATGGAAAACACAGGACTCTATGAGGAATTACCCCTACCCCAACTGCGTTCAGGGGGCCCATTTTAACTGCAGGAGTGAGGAAAATGGTCCTATGGAAATCTAGGGCATCATTCTCAGAGGTGTGTACTGTTGGAAGGACTGCTGGCATCTGGAAGCATGAAGGAGCATGCAGGGTCCAAGAACTCCCACCACATCTTCCTTCTCCAAGGCTGCTCTCTTCCCAGCAAGAGTGTGACATCAATTAGGATGGCTTGGCTGTAAGTAATAGAAAACTCTCCCACAAAATAAGAAGCCCAAAGATAGGGCATCTCTATTATAAGTTAATTCAGATGTTCAATTACGTTATTGTGGCACAGGTTCTCTCCACCGTTCTGCTCTGTCAAGACAAGATGGTTTTGACTTGGAGGTTAGCTCCCAGAGGGATTGTTAAAGGTCTGTCCCTAGCTTTGGTTTCATTCAGATACACTAACGTATGTTTGAAGAAAGGTTTGCATTTTTTTATTGGTATAGAATAGTTGTACATACTTTGGGGTTACATGTGATATTCCGATACCTGTATATGGTGTACAGTGGTCAAATCTGGGTAATTAGGATATCCATCACCTCAAATATGTATCTTTTCACTGTTTTGGAAACATTGCAAAGCTTCTTCTCTAGCCATTTTGATGTATACAATAAATTATTAACTATAATTTTCCTCCCTACTTTTGAATACTAGAACTAACCCCTTCTATCTAACTGTATTTTTGTACCAAAATGTGCATTTTTCTGTGTGATTTTTTTTTAATGAATGTTGGAACTTTGTGTGGATGCTCTTAGCAGCCCCTTCCTCCCGCCTTACTGGTTTCGTGCTTCTGCCTAACCCTTTCTCTAGCCAGGGAAATGGGAGCTCAGGAGTTGAATTCAGTCAGGCAGAATTTACCCTGGATTGTGAGCTGGATTTGCTTCTCCCTGAGAGTAAACCCAAATAAAAAAAATTTGCTGTGACAGCAAAGAAGAATGGGAGGATGGCTGTTAGGCAACCAACAGGGTCACCTCCCAGGGTGTAGTCCATGTGGGTTTCATTTTGTGTTTTAAACTTAATATTTTTTCCCTTTTTTTAGTGAAAAAGTAACATGCTCATAAATAGAAATAAAGTAACTGTACAAAAAGGCTTATTAAAAAAACTCTCTACCTATCTTTATGTCATAACTTATACAAAAATTATGAAATATTAAGAGAAAAATTTTAAATTCTAAGCAAATGAAGGAGAACATTTTAAAACTTTACGAAAGTGAAGGAAAATAACATATTTATGGATTGAAAGTACTGACATTGAAAAGATTCTACCCAAATTGATTATAGATTCAATAAAATCCCAGTTAAGACCCAGCAAAGTTTTTCTAAGAGGTCAACAATTTGTTTCTAGTATTTGTGTGAAAATGCAAAGGGCACAATATCCAAGATAACCTTAAGAAGAAAAAACCTGGAGACTATACATACAGGACATTGTGACTTATTATAAAGTCCAGTCATAAAGACAGTGTAGAGTTGGTACTAGGAAATATAAAAACATATCCATTCATATCCAATGACTCAATTATGACATAGTTTTTTATAGAGGGGAGAAGAATCATCTTTTAAAATAAATGGTACTGATTAAATTGGATATCTATATAGAAAGTATAGGTAGTATTTTTCTCCATTTACTTAGAGCTTTTAAATTTTATTTTAACCATGTTTTATATTTTTATATATACTTTTCCCCAGATTAATAAAATTCCCTTCTATTTCTAATTTGCTAAGACATTTTTATCACAAATAGATTTTGAGATCCTTTTGTAGTTCATAAATGTGATTTTTTTTTTCACTCACATGTGAGATATACCTCCCTTAAGGTTGTTATACCATCAGCACATTACCCATCTGGCAGGAAAAAGAAATAGATTTTGACTCTCATCAAATACTTTTTTGCATCTATTGACATAATCATGTGATTTTTCTACTTCACTTTGTTAATGTGTCTAATTACATTGATTCATTCTCAAATTCTAACACTCACATTCCTGGAATAAAAGTCACTTAGTCATGATGTAGTAACCATTTTATATATCACTGGATTTAATTTACTGTTTCTACAAAAATTCTTATATATATTTCATGAGAGAGCTTGACAAGTAATTTCCTTTTGAGTAATGTTCTTTTCAGAATTTAATATCAAAGTTTTGCTGGCATCATAAAGTATGTTGGGAAGGGTTTCTTCTTTTTCTTTTATCTTGAAGAATTTTAAGAAGAATCCACTAGTGAAGTTATCTGGTCTGAGGAAAGTTTTTTGTGGAAAAATGTTAATTTATAGGTTCAGTTACTTTACTACATACAGAACTACTTAAGTTTTGTATTTCTGTTCATCAATTTTGGTAATGTCAATTTTATAGAAACTTTCTCATTTTCCCTACATTTCCAAATTTATTGGCATAAAGTAGTTCCTCATATCCTCTTTGTTTTGAGACAGGATCTGGCTGTGTTGCCCCAGCTGGAGTGCAGTGGTGTGATTTCAGCTCACTGTAACCTCCACCTCCTAGGCTCAAGCAATCCTCCCACCTCAGCCTCCTGAGTAGCCTCCTGAGTAGCTAGGACCACAGGCACACACCACTACACCCAGCTAATTTTTTTGTTTTTTATTTTTATTTTTGTATTTTTAGTAGAGACAAGGTTTCACCATGTTGTCCAGGCTGGTCTCCTGAGCTCAAGCAATACTCACACCTCAGCCTCCCAAACTGCAGGGATTACAGGCATGAGCCACTGCACCCAGTCCCACTCTTACTTTGAAATATCTCTATTGTCTAGAGTGATGTAAACGTTTTCATTCTGGCATTGATAATTTCTGGCTTGTCTCTTTTTTTTTAATCTGTCCTAGCAGATGTCCATTAATTTTACTAATCTTTTCAAATGATAAACTTTTAGCTTTTTATTTTTCTCTATTTCACACTCATTTTTTATTCATTAATTTCCTTCTCATTTTTAATACTGACTTTCATCTACTTCAGGTTTAATTTGCTGTTCTTTTTCTAACTTCTTAATAATACTTGGCTAATTGCCATTTCAACTTTTCTTCTTTCTAAAATATGAATTTATTGCATAAATTCCCCCAATGCAACTTTAGCTACATCCAGTGAGTTTTAATGTATTGAATTTTCATTATTATTCAAGCAAAAATATTTTCTAATTTTTATCGTAATTTCTCACTTAACCCATATACTATCATTATTATTGTATAATTTCCAAATAGCATTTTCTCATTTTTTTAAGTTTAATTCTATGATCATAAAACATGCTATGTATGATTTCAGTCCTTTGAGATGTTCTGAAATTTGCTTTATGGTCCAACAAAATATCAGTGTTAGTCAATGGGCCACGTGCACTTAGGAGAAATGTGTATTCAATTGTTAATTGTGTTGTTCAAATCTACATATATATTCCTCTTTTTTTCCCACATATTTCCTTTTGTCCCCACTACATGTTCTATTAGTTATTTAGAGAAGTGTCTTATCAACTTGCATTTTGGCAATAGATTTGTCTATTTCCTTTTTTTTGTTTCTATCAATTTACTTTATATATTTTAAGGCCATATTAAGTGCACATATTTTTTAAATTAACGTATTTTGTTGGCGTATTGGCCATTTTATGTATAAGAAACACCCCTCTGACTCTCTAGTGTTAGAATCTAGCCTTAGATTCTACTTTGTATATTGATATCATTATACTGGTTTTGGGGGGGTTAGTGTTTACATTTTGTATTAAGCCAGTGTCCCTGAGAAGCAGACTTTGAGTACAGAAGGTGAGAAGTGAATCTAAAAATACTGGTAAGGTGGCAGGAGTAGACACAGAAGGGAAGTAGGAGTGAGGTGGCAGGAGCAGACCCAGAAGGAAGGAAGCTGACACCACATGCACTAGTGAGCTGTTGGTTGTGGACAGCTAGGACTCACTTCTCCAGGAAGTCTCTTCTAGGCTTCTCAGTGGCTTTGCTGGGAGACTGCATGGAAACACCTAGGAATTTCTCCACCTGAAGGTAAACACGCTGGAGTGTTTACCACCCGCTCACATCCTCATTAGACAAGGGCTGCTCCTGAAGGCATCAGCTTCTCAGAATTTCTGCTTCGTCCCATTTCCCACCAGCCTGCTTCCAGGGTTAAAGAATGCCTTCAGGCTAGACCCGGTGCTACATGCCACTGAAAGACATCTGGAAAGTCACGGCAAATGCCAAGGAATAAAGCAGGGTCTTCACAGTGTCTTGTACTCATGGAATCTATTGCCCCATTCTTTTGCTTTCAACCTTTTTTGTGTCCTTATATTTAAAATGTGTCTCCCATAAGCAGCCTATAACTGTTTCATCCCATTCAGGGTGACCATCTTTGTCTTCAAATTTAGACAATTAGTTCATTTACATGTAATGTAATTACTAATGAATTTCATTTTATAATTATGTTCCATTGGTTTTCTACTTGTCATCATGTTTTATGTTCATTTTTTAAAAGTTCTTACCTTTGTTTCGATAATTCAATTTTAAAATTACGTTATTCTCCTCTTCTGCTATTAAAATATATTTTTGCTAGTGTTTTGGTTTTTACCCTAGAGATTCTAGACTAAATACAGTCAAATACAAATTATACTTTTACTCTCTCCTGCTGGATAATCATAGACCTCAGAACTGAGATCTGGAGCATTTACTAGCTAGGCAAATGGACATCTTTTGTGGGTCCTGGACTCCATTTCTTAATTTTCTAAAGACTGTGAGGCAGTCTTCCAAAAACCCTCTGCTCTGCTTCTCAGTGGCTTTCCACTTAGCTTCTTCATCTCTTGCCCTCTGCAGCTAAAAATTTGCCAGTGCATTCAGAGGGAACCCATTTGTTATTGGGCTATTTCCCTGCATCTCCTCTCTCACCAGGATCTTAACCACTCAAATATTTGGCAGCACCCTCAATTCAAACTTTTTTCAAAATTCCTTTTTTTTTTTTTTTTTTTTTGAGACAAGATCTCACTCTGTCACCCAGGCTGGAATGCAGTGGTGGGATCTCAGCTCACTGCAACTTCTGCCTCCCGGGTTCAAGTAATTCTCATGCCTCAGCCTCCTAAGTAGCTGGGCTACTCAGCCACTATGCCTGGCCAACATGCCCAGCTAATTTTTGTATTTTCAGTAGAGATGGGGTTTCCCATGTTGGCCAGGCTGGACCCGAACATCTGATCTCAGATAATCTGCCCACTTTGGCCTTCCAAAGTGCAGGGATTACAGGCTTAAGCCACTGCACCCGGCCCCCAACTCCAACTTTTGTCTCCTCAGTTTTGTGAGAGCACCCAAAGCTCTGCAGGCTTCTCTGTTCCTTGACAGCTAGCAAGAGAGTGAAAGTCCACCTTGACTTTCACTCTCTTGCCAGCACCAAGAATCAGCAAGTGCCCCAGAAGGGAAAGCAAATTCCAGGATATCTGCCTACTTGGGCTGTCCCGTTTCCCTGGTTGCCTTAGCAGCTATTCAAACGCCTTCAACAATGTTTTACGGGTGTTATCTAGCTTTTCTGGTTGTTTTGATGGGAGGAACAATCTGTTGCAAGTTACTCTAGCATAGCCAGGAGTGAAAATTCATCTAGAATGTATTTACTCTGTCATTTTTTTGATGGACATTTAATTTTTCCCTAGTCTCCACCTATTATAAAAATTGTAGCAAGAAGTAAGTTTGGACATCTGTCTTTGCTGATGTGTGTATGTGGCTGTCGAATTCCTAGAAAAAGAATTTCTTGGTCAAAGAAAGGAGGCATTTGAAATGTTGATAGCTCTTACCAAATTTTCCTCTCAAGAGATATATCAATAATGTGTGAGAGAGTGTGTTTCCCCAAAGAATGTGTGGTTTTATAGAAGAGGTACAGGAATTTCTTCAAAGATACCTGAAGACAGGAAGATGAATGTGTTTGCTTAAATTCTTGGTCCCCCCATATGGCCTCAGAATTTAAGCAAACACAAGATGGAAGGGATCCACTTCCCAAAGTGAAAAATCCATGTCTATGCTCAAAGTATCTTTGCTCCATCATAGGACTAGAACCCAAGGGAAGTAAAAACTAACTGAGCCACAAAGAACAAGTTTTAACAAATGTACCCACAATGAGGATGGAGAATTACTGCTATTTTATATTAAACTGATAGGGGTTATGGGTAGCCTCTGTTTACAGACCTTTAAAATGCTGATGAGCTCATCAGAAGTTCTTTTCAAAATACCCATGATTATAATTGTTTCAGTGTTAGTTCAAGACAGTTATTTTCATTTTCAAACAACTTTGAAGTTCAAATTTTGAAATAAAAAATGTCCCCTTACATTTCTAATGGTTTTACATTATTCGGAAGTAATGACTTAGGTTTTTATAAATGTATTTGGGCATCTTAAGGATGGGTCAATTTCTTAGCTTCCCAGGAATGCCAAAGCATAATAGTGACAACTTTTTGTTTTATTGCCCTTTTTCTTATTTGATAAATTAAGGTAGTACCTGATTTTGCATTTGGAAGCATTTATTTTATTGTTCAAAGACTCCTTTTCAATTCAAATTCTTTTTTATTGAAATTCTTTTTTTTTTTAACCCCTCTCTCATTGGGTCCTGGGGAGATAATTTAAAACCACCTACATGAGATGACCTTCAGGAATAATTAAATCAAGCACATACTGTGTGCACCTTCAGCATCCTCTCTGGGAAACACGCAGCAGCCTATTCATGAGAACATTATTCTTTAAACTTCAATGCTATAGCAATACTATCTGGTAAGATAATTGTCTCCAAAGGGATGAAATAAGGCCAAGAAACCAAAGCTCTCCAGCCTCTTCTAAGTTTGCTTCTGATGCCTGCCTCTCAGCCTTGCTTCTTCCAGCAGGCCCCAGCTGCCTCTAGGCTCCA